TTTTAAATTTTTAATTTTTGGTACCAGGGATTGAACTCTGGACCTTGCACTTGGGAGGCAGGCGGCAGAACCACTGAGCTAACTCCCCGGCAGCAATTATATTTCATGAAAAAGTTCTGTCTAACAATTATTAGATGTTAGGCTTTTCTCTTGAGTTTTTTCTTTTAGGCTGTTGATGTGAAAACAAAAGTAGGATTGATTAATAAGAAACTAGAGGCTTCCCTCCCTCTTCCCTCTTCCCTCCCTTTTCTCTCCCTGTGCTGGGGTTGAACCCAGGCCCTTGTGCTAGGCAAGCCTGTACCACTGAGATCCGACCTCAGTCCTCTAGTGCACATTTCACATGTGACAACTCAATTCAGACTCGCCACATCGCAGGTGCACAGTAACCACATTCGGCCAGTGGCCACCACACTGGAGAGTGCTTATGTTCAGTGTGACAGATGTTTATAAGGAGCAGAATCACAAATGATGTGTGAAAGAATTTGCAGGTTAAATGTTAAATTTATTTAAGTCAGAGTCTCACTAAATTGCCCAATCTCGGCTTGAACCTTGTGATCCTTCTGCCTCATCCTTCTGAGTGGCTGGGATTATAGGTATATACCATAACACCTGGCTTTTCATTCATTTTTAAGCTATGTTTGTTCTGATTTCAGTAGTAGTTTATTTTATTTTTAGTTTTTATTTTTTATTTTTTTGGAACCGGGGATTGAACTCAGGTCCTTATGCTTGTGCAGCAGGCGGCAAAACCACTGAGCTATATCCCCGGCCCTCAGTAGTATTTTAAAATGGGAACTTTTAGAGATGTTATACATCAATAAAATTTCTGGGTTTTTTTGGGTAGCCTTTTTGACTTGTTTTTTTGGTAACAGGGACCTAACTTGGGTCCTTGTGGTTGCAGGATAGGTGGTGGCATTGAGTAGCCTTTTTGAGCCTGAATTCTCATGATGTGAGCTCAGTTCTTGAGACTCTAGTTTTGTGAAGAAGCAGCTTTTATCTGCTTTGTCTTTTTTTTTTTTTTTGATGGTATTGAGGATTGAACCCAAGGTCTTTACACTGAGCCACATCCTCCAAACTCCCCCTTTCTCTCTCTCTTTTTTTTTTTGAGACGGTCTCACTGTATAGCCAAGACTAGCCTCGAACTCACAGCAGTCCTCTTGCCTCAGCCTCCCAAGTGCTGGGATTACAGGTGTGCACCACCATGCCCGGCCGTGGCTTCACTTTTTTTTTTTTTTTGGTACCGGGGATTGAACTCAGGTCCTTGTGCTTGCACAGCAGGCGGCGAAACCATTGAGCTAAATCCCCAGCCACCGTGGCTTCATTTTTAAAAGAATGTCCTACTTTTTTTTTTAGGATAATATAAATAAATATCTATCTTGGGAGATGGGATTCTTCCTTTTTTTTTTTTTGGTATCGGGGATTGAACTCGGGTCCTTGCAGTTGTGAGGCAGGCAGCGGAACCACTGAGCTAGATCCCCTCCCTGATTCTTCTTTTTATATTAAAGAACTATGAACTTTAGACAGTAGTGAGTCATAGTGTCACCCTTTAAAAAATTAGCACAGGTAACCAAGAAGAAAAAGAAGAGACGGCACAGGATTCCAACAAATGATGAATTACTATATGATCCTGAAAAAGATAACAGAGACCAGGCCTGGGTTGATGCACAGAGAAGAGGGTAAGAATTTGAATTTAATATTTATTTTTTTTTATTTTTTGAATTTAATATTTAGAATCTTTAGAGAAAAATGGCTTGCCTTACATTTGCACTTTACTGTATTTATGTACAAGAAAGAAGTTTTGGGGCCAGGAACTTAGCTCAGTGGTGCTGTTACCTGCCTTGCAAGCGCAAGGTCCTGAGTTTGATCCCTGGTACTGAAGGGAAAAAAAAAACAAAAAAAAAAAAACGAAAAAAAGAAGTTTGGGGCCTGGGGATTTAGCTCAGTGGTTCCAGCGCCTGCCTTGCAAGCACAAGGTCCTGAGTTCGATCTCTGGTACCAAAAAAAAAAAAAAGTTTGAAGGAAAAATATCTGCCGAATAGTTTGTTTTGAAAGTAACTAGGAAATTTGCCAGATTTTTTTTGCGGGGGGAGTTGAACCCAGGGAGCACTGAGCTGTCCCAGCCCTTTTTGGCTCTTTGAGAGGAAGAGTGTAGAGGGTAGAGTGCCATGTTCATTACATCCTGTCAAGGGTACATGCTCACCACAGGATTTTGACTGTTGCTCCTGACTCTTGATCATGGGGCTGAGGTAGGGCTGTCATGTTTCTCCTCCCCATCCCTTTCATACTCTGCAGTGTGAGAGGAAGTCATGTGTGCAGCCAGACTTAGGAGTAGACAGTTATGCTCCACCACTGTGAGGGCAGAGTGTCTTCCTAGGTTATTTGGAGTTCTGTGGTGTGGGAGATTGGTCTGTTCACCCTTGTTCGTTTATCATTTATATTAACATTCGGCTGGGGATTTACCTCAGTGGTTTTGCTGCCTGCCTTGCAAGTGCAAGGACCCAAGTTCGATCCCCGGTACCAAAAAAAAAAAAAAGGAAAACAATGGGTACATTTATGTTAGCATGGACTTGTGGATATTTATTTACTTTGAATTATAATCTGTACTACCCTTTTTTTTTTTTTTTTTTTGTACCAAGGATCGAACTCAGGTCCTTGCACTTGGTGGCAAAACCACTGAGCTAAATCCCCGGCCGTACTGCTTTTTTTGTTGCTTGAATTATTTCAACTTCAGCCACTGGAAACTCTTCCATATGGTTCCATTCCATTTTGAGAAAAAACCGTCATTGTTTTGTTTGAGTACTTCCTTAACTTTCTGGCACTAGAAGATATTCCAGGTTCATCATGTATGCCATATTCCTACAATCAGTCATTTTCCTGAGTTCTCCTCTTATTGGAGAGTAGCGTTAGAAACTATGATTTGGATTTTTTTCTCATTTTGTTTTTCCTATTGTAGTTATCATGGTTTTGGACTACAGAGGTCACGTCAACAGCAGCAGCCAGTTCCAAATAGTGATGCTGTCCTGAACTGCCCTGCCTGTATGACCACACTGTGCCTTGATTGCCAAAGGTAACAGACAAAGGGTACTCGCATATGCACACACACATGCACACTCACATGCATGCACGCACGGAACAGAAAAACAAAAAAAAACTTTGTAGTCTTAAATTTTTTTCTGTTAGTACATATTTGCCATACATATTGATCACGTTCATCATAGGGAATTTGTACCTGTATATAATATATCTTAATTCTTTCTGTCCATTCCCCTCCTCTCCCTTCAACCCTTCTTCCTCTACACATTTACAAAAGCTTTGTTTCTGTTTTTTCCCTTCCATCCCCCCCCCACCCCACTTTCCCTTTGCTCCCTTCCCCCTGCTGCCTTCCTTGTTCCCCTTCCCATTTGAACATGTTCTTCCTACTTCCTGGTATCTGTATTCCTTTATCTTCCTTATTTACCCTTTGGGTTTCTCACACCAGACAAATAATGTAATATTTATTTATTTGTATCAGGGATCAAACTTGCATCCTTGAGCTTGTGGGGCAGGCAACAGAACCACTGAGATAAATCCCTGGCCCATAATGTAATATTTAAATGTGTGTCTGATTTATTTCACTTAAGATTATGATCTTGAGGGGCATCCATTTTCCTACAAATGGCTGTTTATCCTTTATGACAGAGTAGTACTCCATTATATATAAATACCACATTTTTTTTAAGGGGCTTTTTTTTCTTTTTTGGTTCCAGGAATTAAACTCAGGGCCTTGTGCTTGCAGGGCAGGTGACGGCTCCAGTGAGCTAAATCCCTGGCCCAGTCCCTAGCTATATTATTATTATTATTTTTTGGTACCGGGGATCGAACTCAGGACCTTGCTCTTTCGAGGCAGGCGCCAGAACCACTGAGCTAAATCCCTAGCCTCTCTAGTTTTTTGGTTTTTTTTTTTTGTCCCCCTAGTTATTTTTAAGAAGTCTTTCAATTATTGATTGCCATCTATAACCCTGTCTCCTAGATCTGATTAGTTGACTCTGCTGCGCATACTTTCTGTAGAATTTTTTTTTTTTTTGGTACTGGGGATCGAACTCGGGACCTTGTGCTTTCGAGTCAGGCGGTAGAACCATTGAGCTAAATCCCCAGCCCTCTTTCAGTAGAAATTTTAATCCCCTGGATTTTTGTTTGAGTCTGTTTTATGGAATCCAGTTCTTTTCTTTGTTGGGCATTAAGGGATTCCACCTTTTCATCGCTAAGTTGTTATTTTCCATTGTCTGGAGTCTGAATGGTGGAGAGGTTGATTTGTTGCTGCTGACCACACTTTTTTGTAGGCCGGGGATTTAGCTCAGTGGTGCTGTGCCTGCCTGACAAGTGCAAGGTCCTGAGTTTGATCCCCAGTACTGGGGAAAACCCCCCCCAAAAACAAACCTGTGGTCTTTTGTTTAAAGCATGGACAGACTTTTGAGGTACTTAGGAATTCTGAGGTAGTCAGCCTTGGTGCTACATGACTAATAACTATATAAATAATTTTGAATATACATAGTTCTGTTCAAAGTAGCTCTGTGTGCATGTGTGTGCGTGTGTGTGTTGTTTATAGTGGGACTTGAAACCAGGACCTTTACACTGAGCTGTATCCCCTATTCTTTATTTTGAGACAGGTTCCAGTATTGTGGAATGAAGTGCAGTTTTTTCTATGGAAATTTTTTGTTTTTTGCAGTGCTAGGTGTCAGGTAGATTTAAGATCCAGAGCTGATTGATTGAGGCAGAAAGATTTATTAGTGCCACAGTATGTTAGGATCTCTGTGAGCCCCTGAGAGGCAGGCCGCACCTTTTAAGCCTGGAGTAGGGAGTAGAGATTGGGGGGTGTGAGTGAGAAAGTTGGAGGAAGCTGGTTTTTTGAGGAATGGAAGGTTAGATTGAACATTAGGGGCCAGGGATTTGGCTCAGTGGTTCTGCCGCCTGCCTTGCAAGCACAAGGACCGGAGTTCAACCCTGGTAACAAAAAAAAAAAAAAAAAAAGATTGAACATTAGGCCACTAGGGGGAGCTTTAAATTAATTTTCAGTCTTTTGTTACAGAGAGAAAAGAAAGGAAAAAATAAAAAGGGAAGGATGTTGGGGGAAGATTGAAATCAGGATGCTGGCTTTTTTTTTTTCTTTTTTTCTTTCCTTTTTTTTGGTACCAGGGTTGAACTCAGGACCTTGCACTTGCGAGGCAGGCGGCAGAACCACTGAGCTAAAACCCCGGCCCCAGGGTGCTGTTTTTCTCTGGCTACTTCTGCTATGTTGGAGCATTGTCTAGGTTTGTATTTCTTTTTCCCACTGATAGGGGGAATTTTTGATATCTAGGCTTTTTTGGGGTTTTTGTTTGTTTTTTGTTTTTTTAGTAGAAGGATATTGTCTACTTGGTGTTGGGCGAGGTTTTGGACTATTGTTTGGATGAAACACATAGTGGTGTGGAATAGGAATGGTCCCATTGAAATGGCAAGAATTATTAGGATTGGGGATATGATGGGCAATAACCAGAGGAGCCATGGTTGGCTTTGAAGCCACTTACCCTATGTTTTTTTTTTTGGTACTGGGGATCAAACTTGGGACCTTGCACTTGTGAGGCAGATGGCAGCACCACTGAGCTAAATCCCCCAGCTCCCCATGTTTTTAATTTTTTTTTTTGGTACTGAGTATCAAACTCGGGTCCTTGCGTTTGCAGGGCAGGCGGCAGAACCACTGAGCTAAATCCCCGGCCCTTTTTGAATATTTTTGTTGACTCTTTGAGGTGTGATCCACTAGCTTGTAAGTTGCATCTCAGACCAGTCCCAACTGGTTGTTGTAGAAGCAGCATTCATCTTCCAAGAATAAACATATTCCCCCCTTTTCAGTAGTGAGTAGATCTAGTCCCTATTGGTTTTGTAGGGCTGCTAGGGAGTCTGCCTGGTCCTAAATCTTGATTAGGCTTTGTAAGATTTCACTGAGGCTCTTTTGTAGGTCCTGGTAGCTTTGGTAGAAGTTATTCTACTGTGGTGGCTATTCCTGTGGATATCTCCAGTGTTACTAGAATGGGGATTAGTGTGACTACTCTTTTTAGTGAGAGGGATGGGGAGTTACATTGATATTGAAGGGACAGATAGGCTAGGGTATATGCTCCTGTCCAATTACTGAGCAGACATATGTAGGATTGCTGGACACAAAGGAAAAAGATTCCTGATTGGAATAGGCAAGTTATGAGGTATAGTGAGAAAAAGTGTTGTAAAAGTACACATTCTCCAAATTGAAGGACTTGGCTCACTTTCCAAGACCAAGTTGGAACCAGCCAAGGAGGTCCCCATTATAGATTGAATTAATATAGAATTGCTGGAGAAATAAGATCCCATAGAAGAACTAAGAGGGCTTATGAGTACTTGGGCTTGGGGAAGAGATTGAGACTGTGGGTGGCCTGGAGAAATGGACGAGTTGGGTGAACTTTCTACTTGCCTAAGATCAGATGCCATAATTGACCTGATGAGACTCATAGTCTTGGGGGCTCTTGATAGTGATGGATTGATTGCATTGAGAAATATTTCCAGTGAAGGAGCTATTAAGTATGGGCTTTTGGTAACTGCAAAGAGGGACCTGATATAAGAGGTGAGTTGTCAAGGGCTATGGGACCAATGTTTGGATGGGTAGTTGTAGGGATATTAGAGGAATTAGTGAAATATGTCTGAATCAGTTCATTGGCCCTTCTGCTGATGCTGTTGGCTAGGATTTAAGGAGGGTGTTTGCCTGATCTTTGAAGGTTGGGCCTAAATCCTTTTGTAGAGCAGGCTATGCCTGAGTTTTTACCCAGGCTAATTGGGAGGTGGGAATCACTGTGTGCTGACGATGATAGAGACAGGCACAACCAGCAATCTTAAGCCAGAGAGAGAAATTAGTCCTGTTAAAAATGTCGAAGGTGTGATTGAGGGAATGCTCTAAATGCTGGGCTGTAAAATCTTTATAGGGGCCAGTGTTACAGTGAAAGGGAAGAGGGGGTTTATGGAGATTGGGTGGATTGTGGTGAGTTCTCAATGGATGAATTGAGACCCAGTTGTATAGAGGGGGCTCTAGCCAGGTTATCAGGAGAAAAAAATTACGAAATCTCTCTGTATGTAACAGTCCCACGAAAAGGAGAGGAGTTCCTGTTCTATCCATGGAAAAGCTTGGTAGTCTTTGAAAAGGAGCAAAATAAGACCATAGAATTGTAGGGAACTAGTCATGAGTTGAGTCACGATTTGTTGATTTGATCATTTTCTCTGGGATGGCCATGAGGTGGAGGGACACAGGAGTCAGAAGTTGGGATTTCCACCTGTAAAGAACATGTGGAGTTGGGCTTTTTTTAGAGATGAATTTTAGTCTGGAGAAATGGATCCAAGAGGAAAACCTGAAAGTTTTATGGCTGTTGGTGTGGTAAGAATAACTGTATAAGGTTCCTGGCATTTTGGTTGTATGCTTTTGGGGCTGAGGATTTTGAGGTAGACCTTATCTCCTGGCAGGATTGATAGGGAAGTAAGGTTATCATCAGGTTTTAGGAGTGAGGTTTCAGCAAAGTTTTTCACAAGTTGGCAGATTAAAAGAACAGTGGAAGATAGTCTCTAAAAGAGAATGTATTGGGGAAATGTTGCCAAGAACAAAGGGATACCATACGTGTTTGAATAGGCTCAGAAGACAGGGTGAGCAGGAGTGGTACAGATGTGCAGGAGGATGGTGGGGAGGTGATCTATCCACGTTTATTTAGGTTTGTAGCAAGAGTTTGGTGAGATAGGTTTTTAGTAAGACATGTGCCCTTTCAACTTTGTCAGAGATTGAGTGTTGGCACAGAAGTGAGGGCCAATTTGAGTTGGTTGAAAGAAGACAGGATGGGGAGGGTAAATGGCGACTGAGGTCTCCTGAGGTGTCCTCATATAGGGGTTTAGCTATGAGACCAAAGTTTGGGATCCACAGCCAAAGGTAATTAGCAGGCCCCAAAAAAGAAGAGATAAGATTTTTTGTTTTGTTTTTTGAGACAGGGTCTTGATATGTAGTTCAGGCTGTCCTTGAACTCATTATGTAGTCTAGAGCCAAGGATTTAGCTCAGTGCTTTCGCCACCTGCTGCGCAAGCACAAGGACCCGAGTTCAGTCCCCAGTACCAAAAAACAAAAACTCATTATGTAGTCTAGGCTGCCCTACTTTTTACTTTCCTTTTTTTTGTGTGTGTGTGTGTGGTAATGAGGATTGAACTGAGGACCTTGTGCTTGCCAGGTAGGCGTGACACCACTGAGCTACATCCCCAGCCCCAGATGTTACTTTTTAATTAGAGCTGGCTAATACTCCCAAAATTGTTATACATTTATAGCAATTCCAATCAAAATACCATTAGCATACCTCACAGAACTAGAGAATCCATTTGGAATCAGAAGAGACCTAGAATAACAAAAACAATTTTGGGCAACAAAGGCAAGGCAGGGGCATCACAATCCCAGACTTGAAATTATACAGCAGAGCTGCTGTGATAAAAACAGCATGGTACTGGGCAAAAAACAGACCTAAGGATCAGTGGAATAGACTAGAAGATGTAGAAACAACACCAAACACCCTCAGCCACCTTATCTTGACAAAAGGACCAAACACATTCACTGGAAGAAGGATAGCCTCTTTAATAAGTGATGCTAGAAAAATTGACTTTCCACATGCTGAAGACTAAAACTAGACCCATGTCTCTCACTATGCACTAAACTAAAATCAAAATGAATCAAAGATCTAAATATTCTCCCCCCCGGCCCAGTAACAGGGATTGAACTCAGGACCTTGCACTTGCAAGGCAGGCACGGTGCCACTGAGCTAAATCCTCAGCCCCTCAAAGATCTAAATATGAAAACAGAAACACTAAATCTGCTGGAAGAGAGAATAGTTAGAACTCTTGAGGACATAGGAGTGGGCAAAGACAATGAACAAAACCCAGATTCGACAGGAAATAATACAAAGAATCAACTGAGATCTCATCCTATTAAAAAAGCTTTTGCATAGCAAAAGAAATCAACAGAGTGAAGAGACAACCCACAAAGTGGGAAAAAATTGTAGCCAGTTGTTCCTCAAAGGACTAATATCTAGAACATACAAGGAATTGAAAAAAATCAGACCCTCCCCCCCATTTAAAGACCCAACCCAAAAATGGGCATCTGAAATGAATAGATACTTCTCAGATGAAGTACAAAAATACGAAAAATGTTCAATAGTACTAGTTGGGACTAGGGATTTAGCTCAGTGGTTTTGGCTGCCTGCTGTGCCAGCGCAAGGACCTGAGTTCAATCCCCGGTACCAAAAAAAAAAAATAGTACTAGTTGTTTGAGAGGTGCAAATTAAAGCAATGCTGAGATTCCATCTCATTCCAGAAAAAATGGCTAATATCAAGAAATCAACGGGGCTGGGAATTTAGCTCAGTGACACCACGCCTGCCTCACAAGCGCAAGGTCCTGAGCTCAATCCCTGGGACCAAAGAAAAAAAGAGAAAAATCAACCGATAACAAATACTGGTGGGGCAATGGGGAAAAGGAACCCTTCTCCATTGTTGGTGGGAGTGCAGACTGATGGAACGACTGTGGAAATTAGTGTGGAGATTCTTCAAAAACTAGAATTAGAGGTCCCATTTGACCCAGCTATTTCCCTTCTGGGTGTCTTCCCAAAAGAGTTAAAAGCATGAGACCACAAGGATATATGTGCACCTATGTTTATAGTGACACAGTTTGTAATAGCTAAATCTTGGAAACAACCCAAATGCCCATCAACTGATGAATGGATAAAAAAGTTATGTTTTGTTTTTTTTGGTACTGGGGATTGCACTCGGGACCTTGCACTTGCGAGGGAGGTGGTGGAATCACTGAGCTAAATCCCTGGCCCAAAAGATGTGTTTTTTAATGCAATGGCGTACTACTCAGCCATAAAGAAGGATAAATTTGCGACATTTATAACTAAATGGATGCACCTTGAGACTATACTCTTTAAGTGAAATAAATAGGACGTGCATGTATAAATATCGTGTCTCTCTGGTGTGAGAAACTGAAAGTGTAAATAAGGACCAAAATGTATAATAGGTAATGTGAAACAGGAAGAAATTGTTCAAAAGGAAAGGGGAACTAGGGAGGGGAGCGGAATAGAAGGAAGGGAAAAGAATAAAAAAGGACAAAATGGAAACCTTTTATAAATGAGGGAAAGGGGTTGAAGGAAGGGGAAGGGATTGGAAAAAAAAGAGGAATCAAGATATACCATGTACAGGTACAAATTTCCTATGATGAAGGTGATCATTATGTATATCTAAATTGTACCAAAAAAATTACAGCTGGCTGAATAACAGGCTATTAACTAATCTTGAAGAGTAAATTTTCTTAGTACCATTAGAAAGTAGAAATAAAAACAAAGATGCTACCTTTTAGCTAGGGCTTACAACCTTTTAAGACCTTATATTACCTGAAATGATAAATTATCTTAGCACAAGCAGAAAATAACAAAAGCAAGGTAATCCTATAATTGTAGTTTAAGAATTTCCCACAGCAATTTATAAGAAATGTTTTAGGCACATCAATCTGATGTACATATTGATTTAAGCTACAGAATTTAAAGTAAATATATCAACCAGTCAAGATTTATTTTTTGACACAGGGTCTCACTGTGTGGTTCAGACTGGGCTTGAACTCATTATGTAGCTCAGGCAGGCCTCGAACTTGTGGCGATCCTCCTGCCTCAGCCTCCTGAGTGCTTGGATTATAGGTGTGTGCCACCATGCCCAGCAAGATTATTTTAATGTGCCCTCATTACCTTTTTATGTTTTGGCCTTGATATTTTGTTTTATACCAGTTCTCTTTTTCTGTACTCTGTACTCACTTGGCATGGGCTTGGAGTTAGTCTCTGTTGTTGCTGTGAGGAGAGGGCACCTGGTGGCCACTGTGATCTTATACAGATCCTTTTAAAAAACTCATACTAATATTTCCCCTCATATTGGGGGTTGGAGGCCCTGGGGAAAACCAGAGATGCCACCTATCACAGAGAACATTGAAGCAAAGTGGTTCAGGCAGCTGCTTTTTCAGCAGAGGGTGTTTGTCCCCCCATGTCCAAGGTCTATTATTATAAATACAGATTAACAAGCAGATAGTGGAGACACATAAGGTAATTACCTAAAATCAGTGTATTTGTATGTTTTGGCCAAGTTGGACTATAATAATACTTTTAGTTTAGTTTCAGTTAGAATTTTCCCTAGAGGGTACCATACCATAGTACTTTTTTTTGAGACAGGGTCTTGCTATGTAGTTCAGGCTGGCCTTGAACTTACTATGTACCCCAGGCTGACCTCGAACTTGAAATGATGCTCTTGCCTCAACCTCCTGAGTGCTGGGATTATAGGCATGTGCCACCACACGGAGCTGGATACCATTGTACTTTTGTTTTTGTTTTGTGTTTTTGGTACTGGGGATTGAACTCGGGTCCTTGCTTGCGCAGCAGGCGATGAAACCACTGAGCTAAATCCCCAGCCCCCATTGTACTTTTAATAGTATAGAATTATACCAATAACAGAAGGCAGAAGTGGGGATTAGAGTATGCAAATGGAGGGAAACTGAAGGGGAATTATCTGGAGGCGAGAGACTGGAGACCTGAGAATGGCTGAAACCTAGGCAGTTTTCTTAATTTGGAAGAGGCTAAAGAGGGACAAGAGAACATGAACATAGATATCTTAGTTACTTTATTCATTGCTGAGAAAAAATATCTGACACCCCCAAGTTAAAGGAGGAAAGGTATATTTGAGCTCACAGTTTGTGGAGGTTTCAGTTCATAATCAGTTGGCTCCAAGGCAGGGTGGCATGACAGAGGGGCATTGCAGAGGAGAAACAGTCCATGGCAAAGCAGGCAGGAGGCAGTGAGGCAGCAAGCAGCAGCAGCAAGCCTTCTTTTCCCTTTATCCCATCATGTTTACAAGCCTTTTGGGTGATACCACCCACACCCAGGGTAGATGTTCCCATTAGACATACCCAGAGCTGTGATAACCAATAAGTGGACCAATCCCGTACCATACAACCTTAATCCCAGTGTCATACCACTCTGGGTGGCTGAGGCAGGAGGATTGCCAGTTTGAGCCCAACCTGGACAACTCAGCAATTTATTAAGACCCTGTCTCAAAATAAAAAATAAAGTCCTGGGGATGTAGCTCAGTGAAAACGCCCTGAGTTCAGTCCCCAGTACTGCCAAAATAAAAACAAAAAAAAGACCATTTAAGCACAAAAATCTGCTCTTCTAATATTCTTTTTTTTTTTGGTACCAGGGATTGACCTGGGAACCTTGTGCCTGCAGGGCAGGCGCTGGAACCACTGAGCTAAATCCCTGGCCCTGCTCTTCTAATATTAAAAACTTTAGAATCATCTAAAAATTGGTTAGAAATGCAAATTTCTTGTGTCACCCCAGAGTCACACCATTAATCAGTGACATAACAGGCTATTCACTTGGCAAGGTGCCCATTGGAATTTATAAGGAATTAAAGTAGGCACTGGACATGGGCAGATTGAGAATGAACTGATTTATCTATGAATTGAAATACAGATGATTATATATGTAAAAAACAACTGGTAGGGCTGGGAATTTAGCTCAGTGGTTCTTGCGGAACCACTGAGCTAAATCCCTGGCCCAAGGTCCCAAGTTTGATTCCCATTACAAAAAAAAAAAAAAACTGGTAAAAGAGAATACTTCCTCTTTATAAATGGGTTTCTGTTTTGATGGCATGTAGTAGTTGTACATATTTGTGGGGTGCACTGTGACATTTCAGTCATAAATACAATGTGTAATGATCAGATCAGGGTAACTGCCATATTTGTCACCTCAGACAGATCATTCCTTTGTACTATTTTTCAATAAAAAGTTTCTTCCTGTTCTTAAAAACAACTCTTTGAGATTACCTTACATTTGCTGTTTTGTTCCTGTCTTTACTTTGATTGGTGTTTCAGTAAGTTTTTGGTGTTCTCAAGTTTATTTGAAAGGATAACTTAAAATAAACCGCAAATCCAAATTCTCTTGTTTTGTTTTCCTCTTAGGCATGAATCCTACAAAACTCAGTACAGAGCAATGTTTGTGATGAACTGTTCTGTCAACAGAGAGGAGGTTCTAAGATACAAAAACCCAGACAACAGGAAGAAAAGGCGGGGCTATAAGAAGCTGCGATCTAACCAGGAAGATCCCACCGAGCAGGCAGAAGCTGAAGAAATCTACCACCCCGTCATGTGCACAGAGTGTTCCACTGAAGTGGCCGTCTATGACAAGGATGAAGTCTTTCACTTTTTCAACGTTTTAGCAAGCCATTCTTAAATCATGCAGTTTGCATTTCATTGTACAATACTGTGTAAAGGAAACTGTATGGACCAGTTATTTTCTTCCCTCCGATTCATATCATTAATTAGCATTGAGTTATTACTTGGGGAAGCAGTATTTTATCTTTATGAAAAAGAATAGTTATCAGTCTTCATCTCTCCTCCCCTGTTTTGTTTAGTGTTCTGATGAATACTGATAGGACTGATTATTCATTTCCTTCTTGATGGAGATTTGGAAATAATGGAGCTTTTTATTTATTAAAGCTCTTTGGAATTAAGATGTTCTGGGATCATATGTTGTCTTTGTTTCTGAGTGTCTTAGTTGATTTTTGATTGCTGTAGCAAAATATCTGATTGAGATGTGTTTTATTTTTATTCATAACTTTTACCATATCTGTATATGTTAGGGTCTGAAGATCTCAGAGACAAGCCCAGCCACAAACACTTTAAAAGCATAGTTTGGGTGGGCCAGAGATTTAGCTCAGTGGTTCTGATGCTTGCCTTGCAAGCTCAAGGACCGAAGTTCGATCCCCAGTACCAAAAAAAAAAAAAGAGCATAGTTTGGTATCTGTATTGCTTTGCACATCTAAAATTTCCCACAGTAAACAGAAAGTGAAAAAACAACAAAAAACAAAATATCCAAGGCTGGGTGCTTTATAATGAAAAGAAGTTTAGGGCCAGGGATTTAGCTCAGTGGTTCTGGCACCTGCCTTGCAAGTGCAGGGTCCCTAGTTCAATCCCCAGTACAAAAAAAAAAGAAAAGAAGCTTAGTTAGATCACAGGTTTTTTGTTTGTTTGTTTTTTTTGTTTCTGGTACTGGGGATTGAACTCAGGTGCTTGGGCTTGCGAGGCAGGCACCGGAACCACTGAGCTAAATCCCCAGCCCAAGATCACAGTTTTTGAGGCTGAAATTCAGGTTTGAGTGGCCCCATGTACCTGTAGCCTCTATGAGTTCTGTGAGGCCCACTTAGAAGGCAGGAGCCAGGACGGACCCAGTGGTCAGGCTCACTTTTTTTGTGTGTGAGAAGTGCTTTACTTAAAGTTTGCTTCAGCTGAAGAAAAATGTTTCTGTAGAGCCAGGGATTTAGCTCGGCACCATGCCTGCTTTGTGAGCGCAAGGTCCTCAGTTTGACCCCTGTACCAGAAAAAAAAAAGAAAAATGTTTTTGTGTGTTCCTAAGTCCCTGAAATTAAATCAACTAAGAGATAGTAACAATCTGTCAAATTAGTAAGAATTATTGAAATTGCTTAATTATCAGTACATGGTAAATCGATAAACTTCTGTGAACCTTTCTTGACCCATAAAAAGATTCAAAAGCAGTTTACCCATTTAGCACCTTAATTTTCTGTTGGAATAAAAATAACAGACCAGGTGATTTATAAAGTTTACATGTATTTGGTTCACAGTTCTGAGGCTGGAATGTCCATGATCATAGTGAAAGGATGAAGAACTAAAGAATGCACAAACGGTCTATGTTGATGTACATGGAAACATGCCATATAAACAGTGTTTTAGCTTTCCCATTGCTTGGACACAATACCCAACACCCACATTTTAAAAGAAGAGGTTTATTTTGGCTCATGTCATAAGAGGATTGAGTCAAAAAAAGAGGATTCAGTCCCTGGGTTGGATCCCCAGTGCTGCAAAAAAAATGAAATACACCAGCTATTACAGTAATACAAAATTCTTAGAAACTAATTCTTATCTCTTTGCCTCCACCCCAGCAACCCCCACACTATCACTGGTTCCAGCACTCTTACCTATAGCTTGGAAAAACCCAAAGGCAAGCCAGAAGGATGTTTTCCATTACGGAATAAGAAAAGATCCCCTTCAAGGTGTACTGAGCTCTGATCTCTGGAGAGTTACTGTTGTGCTTCAGGATTTTCATTTTATAGGTGAGAAAACTGTGCCTCAAAGAGACAGCTTTGACCAAGATTTGCATGGCAGAGTCTGAGTTAAAACATTACATATTTCCTGGCCAGTCGTGGTGGTGCACACCTGTAGTCCCAGCACTCCAGAGGCTGAGGCAGGGGGATCACGATAAGTTTGAGGCCAGCCTGAACTACATAACAAGACCCCATCAGGGCCGTGGATTTAGCTCAGTGGCACTGTGCCTGCCTTGCAAGTGCAAGGTCCTGAGTTGGATCCCGGGTACCAAAAAAGAAAAAAAGACCCCATCTGAACAGAAAAAGTTAAAAAAAACATAATTTCCTGACATCTTCCCATTCCATCTTTTATTAGAATAACAAGACAGCCCTAAGTTTTCTAATGTTATTTTTGGAAGTAGTCTAAAACACCATTCTTCAAAAAGGAGAAATACAGATGCCAACAATGCAAGTTCCCCTGAGGCTGCCACTGATGATTTTTATGATAACTCTCCACCCCCACCCACTCACCCCTGGGCCACAAAACAAAACGAAAACAAACACTTGGTTACTGATATCAGGTAGGTAGAAGAGGTGACAGCAAGATTTTTAAAGTCAGATCAGAAGGAAAGATTGCTCTCCTCTCTTCCCAACCACAGATTGGTTGGTTTCTTTTTTTTTTTTTTTTTTTTGACAGGGTTTCACCTTGTAGTTCAGGCAGGCCTTGAACTCACTACATAGCCCAGGCTGGCCTCACATGTGCACTTACTACATTCAGAGTACTGGGGATAGGCTGGGGATTTAGCTCAGTGGTGCTGCTACCCTGGCTTGCAAGCACAAGGTCCTGAGTTCAGTCCCTGGTACCAAAAAAAACCCACTGGTAATACACCCCTTTAAGGGAAAGGGTTGTGTTACTCAGGGCATCTGACAATACTAACTCCATGTAAATTTTTTTTTTTGGTACTAGAGATCGAACCCGGGACCTTGTGCTTGCCAAGCAGGCAGCACTGTTGAGCTACATCTCTGGCCTAACTCTGTCACTGTTTTTTGGGGGTGTTTTTTTTTTTTTGGTACCGAGGATCGAACTTGGGACCTTGCGCTTGCGTGGCAGATGCCGGAACCACTGAGCTAGATCCCCGGCCCCTAACTCTGTAATTGTAACAGCTTCTATGTGTTGTTACTTGGTCCTGGGGAGCAGGGGAGGAAGAGTGATTCTTCCTACCAAGAAAAACAACGCAGACAAGTCAGGAGCAGTTTGTAGTATTTTTTTGTCCTGGAGATCGAACTCAGGACCTTGCAATTGAGAGGCAGGTGGTGGAACCACTGAGCTAAATCCCCAGCCCACCTTTTTTGGTTTTTTGAGGCAGAGTCTCCCTTTGTACTTCAGGCTGGCACTGAACTCTCTGTGGAACCCAGGCTGGCCTCGAACTCATGGCGATCCTCTTGCCTCAGCCTCTTGAGTGCTGGGATTACAGGCATGTGCCACTGTGCTCAGCTTAGTAGTTTTTAGTTTAATCAAAGGGAAGGGTATTATCCACAATTGTTAGTTTAGATGTAGTTTGTTCCCCAAGGTTCGTGTGCTGGAGACAGTCTCCTGTGTAGCAGAGTGAGAGGTGGCAGAAACTTGAAGAGGTGGGGAGACTGCTGTTGGAAAGGATTAATATAGTTCTCAAGGGATCCCAGTTAGTTTCCTCCAGAGTGAGGTGTTATAAAAGAGTGAGCCTAGAGCCGGGCATGGAGACACACCCCTGTAATCTCAGCATCTGGGAGGGTGAGGCAAGAGGATCTCCGCAAGTTTGAGGCCAGCCTTGGCTACATAGTATGCCCATACTGTACATAAATAATATGTACACTGTACACATATAACATACATGCCACACATATGTGCACACATAATTTGAACGCTATATACCATACATAATGTGCATAATGAACACGATGTACATAATGCACACAATGTACATACACAATGTACGTAATATACGTAATGAATATAATGTGCACAATAGAATGTTCAAATGTGCAAAAGTAATGTATACATTGTATATATATAATGCACACTGTATATACATAATGTTCAAAGAGATTTAAAAGCAATTTTGCCCTGCCCTTCCCATTATATAGGTATATTGTGTACACTGTATATTTATATTGTGTGAGTTATGTACATGATATGTGTGCACTATACACATCATGCATGCACACTATAGTGTGTACAGTATGCACATTATGTATGTACATCATGTGTGTGCACTATGTATAGCATGTACAGTGTGTACATTATGCATAGACATTGTGTGCATTACATGTTCATTATGCACATTATGTACACTACATATACTACGTACAGTGTGCAGTGCACATAATATATACATAATATACATGTAATACAATATGTACATTATACGTATATCATGTTTCTACAGTTTATACAGTATGAACATTTTGTACAGGGTGTATACTAGGTATGTAGTGTGTGCATTATGTATGTACATTATGCACATTATGTGTATTATGCACATTACCTTTATTCTGTATGTACATTACATGATTATGTACATTATATACATTATATACATTATGCACATTTGTATGTACATTACACTTGATCTTAGCCAAAAGGCTGAGAAGCGATGTGTACATTACAATATTCAGACAAAAGAAATGGTCAAAGGAAACTCCAACTTGATGACTTTGCTTTTATTTGCGTAACTCCTGCATGCAGTCCTCTAATGTATAACAGAATATAAAACTACAATACTGTACGGTGCAATCACAAAAATTCCAGTACTGTCTGTAGAAGAAGCCAACATAAAGCCTCACTGCTGCCTGTGATCTTCGTAAGTCTGAGTGGTGGGGTGTACGTTCAAACAGTTGTTAAACAGGTAGGTCGTTAAACGAAGAATGCCAGTCTCTTAAATCTTCTAATTTATAATTTATTTTATTTTGATATAGGCGACTGAACCGAGGACCTTCACATTGAGCTACATTTCCAGCCCTTTAAAAGTTATTTAAGGCCGGGGATTTAGCTCAGTGGTGCTGCACCTGCCTCACAAGTGCATGGTCCTGAGTTTGATCCCTGGTACCGAAAAAAAAAATTACTTAAATTTTTTTTCAGACAGAGTCTTACTAAGGCACTCAGTTGCCTAGATTGGGTTCAACTTGTGATCTTCCTGCCTCAGCACCCCAGAATGTTGGGATTATAGGCATGCACCACCATGTCTGACTAAATCTCTTTATTTTAAATTTTCATCAAGTTAATATTTGAAGAGTTTTAAAAACAAAGTAGTACTGTCCTGAGTTCAATGCCCAGTACTGGAGAGAAAAAAAATGTAGTACTAAAAAGCAAAAAATTCCAGCATTTCCCTCCCCTAACCATTATCCTGCTGCTCACAGGCATAAGCTTCCAATACAG